CCCCAAAACCCCAAAACCCCAAAACCCCAAAACCCCAAAATACCTCCCCAAGGTTGATATACTATCTAGAGGACAATTATATACTTAATAAAAATAAATGGAAGTGCATCAGAACACTCAAATGAGCAAGAACAAAAGAAGAGGGAAGAACAAGAAGAAAAATAGGAACAATAATCGTGGAGGTCAGAATACAGGTAATCACTGCGGAGATAACTCAAATTCTAAAACCGCTCATCCTGGCTCTACAAATGGCGGCATGGCTAGCAATGGAAATGTAAGTGAACTAATAAAACCATACAAATTTAGAATATTTATCTCATTTTTCATTTTTTATAGCAAAGACAGAAGCTTAATGGAAATAGTAAGCAAGGAAGTCCTCATAAAACCCCACCTGTTTCAGACAAGACATTGGAGCTGGATCACTTAATCGAAATGTTCGGAAAGGAAATAGAGGAAGAGGTCATCACGATATGTTGGGAGTCCTCCAATAAAGATTATGAACAAACCATAATGGCTTTATCCTGTATGATTTCTCAGAAAGAAAATGAGAAGCCTCCGGCTTCTCATTCTCCTAAAGAAGAGCCCAAAGAGGAGCAAAAGTATGATTTTTTAAACATAACTTTTAGAAAATCCAAATTTGGACTCTCTTCTGGAAGCCGCACTTTTGTTCCTGGAAAGGGAAGAACCGAGAAGGAAGAAAAGAAGGTCAAGGATGAAGAGGAAGAAAAGATCCAAGAGGAGAAGAAGGAAGAAGAGGAGGCAGGAGATCCTGGTAAGAATTCCATAAGGTTCGGTATTGACACACTTTTAGGAGCCATTAGAACAAATAATCCCTTCATGGATGCTTTCAACAACTTTTCATATCGTGAACCTGACGAGGAGGAAATGAAGGAGTCGAAGAAGATAGCTGATTCATATATGGAATATCAGGAGAAAGAGGAGAAGGAATGGTTCATCGAACAGGAAAAAGAACTCCTCCAGTCATTGATCAAGGATTGCCAGCTTGATGAATATTTGGGAGGTACAAAACTCGATTTAAATTCTAATATAGAAGGAGTGCTTGATGAAGAAACACTCAAAATGATTTATGAAACCTCAGATTCCTCGCCTACGGCCTCCCAGGCCAGTACTAATCCTTCCGAGGATTCTAAGCAGGATTTTCCAATTATTGCCACAAAGAAGAATAAGGGGAGGCGTAATCGGAAGAAGAAGACGCCTGAGAAGTTACCTCCTGAGATGCCAGTTAACAATGATAAGCCATTTGATGAAACCAACAGTAGGATTTTTCTTAATAACCGTGATATAGTTGCTGAGGAAGCAGTTGATTTTGCAAATGATGCATCCCTCCAATTCTTGATCAACCAGCAAATTTTGGCTGAGCAAGAACAGAAGATGCTCTCAGAGTATCAATATAACCAGTCTGAGTTCCCCTCTCTGGTGGCAGGTGATGATCTCAAGCAAATTAAGAGGAAGAAAGCCTTTGCCATTAATGAGTGGACTAAGACTAAAAGCGGTCAGAGCTCTACAGGATGTGGTGATGACCTTGAAGAGGAACAAATCAAAAAAATTAAGAAAGCTTTTCCTGCCATAAACACTGACATATAATCCGAATGGCCTATATGCAGCTAGGAGATTCTCAATTGGTGTTAGACTATCTCAAAATTTACTACAAAAATAACTACAACGATAACCACGGAGATGTAGTAATGAAAGATATTAAGCCAATAAAGTCTAAAATTCCGAAGCCTCCTGCCTTTGGTGGGAAGCCGAGGACTACACCTATTGATGGAAAGAATCAGAAGATGCCCTCTATCGCTCCCGATGATAACTATGATGCTATTAGAGAGCAAGAAAGGGAGTATTGTGAGAAAATGAAATCTCATTTCAGCCTAGCTTCAAAGGCCTATAGAAGAGGAGACGGGGCTACAGCTAAAAGAGAGGCTCAGGAAGGAAACCGCTACAAGAACCTCTTCCTCCAAGAGAGATATTTGAATGTTCATAGAACATTAGCTGCAAAGAATAGCCACCTGAACAGAGCTGAGTCTATTGATCTACATGGATTACACAGAAACGAAGTGGATTATGTCCTTGAAAACTTCATTAATGACATCCAGAGCAAGTTGGTGACTGGAGAAATCATCCCTAATATGGGAGCAAAGAGAGGGCATATGGTTACCATCATCACCGGTAAGGGAAACAACAGTAGAAATAACAAGTCAGTGATCAAAGTGGAGGTTAAGGAATATCTCCGCTCCAAGGGAATTGGATTCAAGGAGTCTGATGGCTACTTTACCATCAGCATAGTCTAATCTGCATCCCAATCATATTTACTCAACCAAAATTGGCTTATTCGGGGTTTTGGGGTTTTGGGGTTTTGGGGTTTTGGGG